GATTTTACCTTTGGACAGGAGATTCAAAATACCATTCCCTGGCTCATGTCAAGTTGTTGTGCTAAGCTATCTGCTTGCTAGCTGTGGCTTCATATTTTGCTCCTTCACTGGCTTGAGTGCTAGAGCTGAATATCTGAATACCACTACAGCATCAAAGTAGGCTAAAAGTCTCTACATAATTCATAGTGCTATTAAATGCATAGAGTGCCACAACATTAACAAGGCAAAGTAGAGGCATTGCCCTATACCTGCAGTTACGGCAAATCAATATTCAAGTAAGTGTAATAATCTAATAACAACATTAGCTCCACTGCCTGAAAAATGTGTTAGTATGTGGGAGTGAATGCACTGGGGAACAATTTACTACAGATCTTCCTCCAGTAAATACATAGGATGTGTCAGTTTACGATGTATGCTGGAAAGAGAATATTAATAGGAAAGTAATTACTTTAAACCTCCTCACCCACCATATACCTTCCCTACAGTGTAACAAACACTGGTGAGGTTTCTTTGTGTTATATTGTGGTAGCACATAACATGATTATAAAGCAATATAACAAAGCCTGCTTTGTGTTTTTTCAAAGAGGCTATTTCAGATTGTCATTTGGATTCATCACCAAGAGATATTTTTGTCTCTGACCTAATACAGAAAATTAGACTCTAAAATGGTCTGATGTGTTATTAATAATAGTCAGATTTCCAAAGCACCTTTATATTATTTTTACATTTTGAACAGCCCTACCTTATATACATTATTTTATGCATAAACAGTCGTAAGAAATACTAATTTCAATAAAAGTATTTGCGCATGAGTAAAAACAACTTAGAACACAAGCAAACCAGACATAAGTTGCCATCAGCCTAATTCCCCACACACATAAAGCAGCGGCTCTATTTCCAAACCCATTTGGCAATATTCAGTGGAGAGAAAGATACACAGCTTTTTTTTCCGGGTGACAAGTCTTGTTGGTCAGGTTGAGTGTTTTATCCCCAGTAGAGGGAAAGAACTGTCTGGGGTTACAAGGGCTTCTGAGTGCTTGCAAGTTACACGAGATGGCTATACATGTCTAGCAAAAAGAGTCTCCCTATGGTATGTTTGTTTATCTTCTATGCCTGGATTAATAATTGAGTTATTTTGGGTGAAAAATGAAACTGTATCACCAAACAAAAAAGATCTGCTCAATGCCTCTTAATAATACTGAGGGGGTCTAAATATAGACCAAAATAAAAGCAAAGCACTGTATGTTCAGTACAGTATAAAAAAGCCCTCAAAGTACATCAGTAGTAAGCACATACTTTCATGTAACAGTCAAAAATGAATCTTTAAAGAGCAGACTTTAAATCAAAGGGCCACTGGTTTCCTTTTACCCGTCTTGCATAAACTATACCCAAGTGGGTCAATGTCACATTTTTCTCATATAATTCCATACAGCTTTTCTCATGCTTCCTTAGCCAGAGTTAAGCCCGACAGTAGTTAGTGAATCTTCACATTACAATGAATAAATAGGTCATAGGTTGTACTTTTTCACACATTCATATCGAACACTTTACTCTTGTGTTTTACGCATGCATTTGTCCCTTCAACCTTTAAAGTGTGAAGAAATAAAAAGGCCTTTGCATTTCCATGGCTCCTCGATGCAGCCCACAGACTCTGACACCTCTGCTTCACAGTGGAGTTTATGTTGTGTCAGGTTCCCCACAGATTCTGCAGTCTGTCTGTGGGCCAGGGGAGCTGGGGGAATCCCTGGAGAAACACACAGCTGGGAGGTTATTGAATTTGAAGGGAGAAGGGAAGAGGAGAGGATAGTGCAGGCACAGTGGATTTATAGGAAATGACTGCTCTACAACTGTGCAAAGGAGATGTGATTGCACAGGGAGAATTTTGCAAACAGAAATCAGGTTTTCCTCTTTCCCTTTTAATAGAAAGCACAGTTTAAAATTACAAGTGGAGATTTTTGTTGATATATAAACCTCCTGTGGACTGTGGTTGTTTCTTGCTGCAAGGGATGAAACCGGTATTTTAAATTCCACCTTTGCTAATTTAAATGTACCCCTCTTGCATTACATTATATGCACGCCAAGATCACAGAATGCTAAAAATGTATTCGCTTTTGAGTATTTCTCTTTCATCTTCGGCACATTTTAATGCATTTTTTTCTGCAGCATACACACTCTTTTCTCGCTCTCACACCCCCCTCGCTCCATGTGAGTATTGCTCTTTTCAAACATGGCAGAAAAAGGACAAATTCAAGTCAAGTCTTGCACATTCTCCGTACCATATGTTTGCTCGCTATTAATACAAGCTGACAAACAGGAAAAATGCTACAGAACAGATAATTATAATATGCTTCAAGATGTGTCATCTCATGGTGTTCTCATGGTGTTACAGAACATTTCTTTTGATGTCTTTACTGGCTTCAGAAATACTTCAATAGAGCCTAACCATATTATACTGAAGCTGTGTTGTCTATTGCTATTTTGGTGTGCAAGCCTTTAACATTATGTGTAAGACATCTCGTGGGGACTGAGGTCTCTGGAGTACAAGCCAAGGACAATTACATTCAAGAAAATGACTTTACATAGTGCCCCCAAAGATATTTCAGATACAATCTCCCCGATGTAAGGTCCAAACATTTTATCTAAACACATTCAGATTCATGGTTATGGCTTATAGCTGATGCAACACTTATTGCAATGCTTATTCCCTTGAACTTGTTTTATAATGCGGCTTGAACTTATGATACATCTTGCAGACAAGACTGTGATTGCGTATAGTCTCACCTCATTTCACTTAGCTTAAGAACACTTTACAACACACAATCAACCCTTTCAGAAAAAGAAGTAGTGATAATGATGCAGAACAAGAAGAAGCCACAGTGTCAGGCACATAGTTCTGTTCATGTTGGTGTCATAGCCACTGAGTCGTTTCACAGTTGCCTTGCATGGAAAATGTCTAATCACCGGAAAGAAGTGATTGTTTGTTTGATTTCCCTTTTTAGCCTGTTTGTAAGTAAATTTATACTAGTAATAAAAATTGGCAGAGTGGGTAATTTATAATTACCCTAATATAACACAAAGCACCAGTTGATTTACTAACGTGGTTTCCACGCTATAGTGATTCCAGAGTTGTTAGTTTTTTTTGTTGAATTTGATAGATTGTGATTGGCACACCAGCACCTCTTATTCAATTAGTACACCTTAATTATGGACTTAGTGGTATGACCTTTGTGTACCTTCTTTTTTCTGTATAGCTCAGTTAAAGCAAATGCAGCTAGTATGAAGTGTGTGTCAGTTGTACTTTGATGTAGGCCAACTCTAGACTGCAGGTGATGTTGTGGAGCACTTTGTGTTAAATGTTTGTTCTTTAATTGCAATGTTGCTAGAAAGATCATTTCCAAAATAAATGATAAAAATGTATCTGTTTTTATGATTTCAATCAGCAAAGTATAACAGATCATTTTTCACATGGCAGCACCTCAACTCATTTAGGTGTAGACATGGTCAAGTCAACCTGTTGACATTAAAAAACAAATATCGAAATATTAGAGAAAAGTGACTTAAGTAACTCTGAATGTCCTTTTACATGGTTGGTGGTGCCACGTGGCTGGTCTGAGTATTTGAGTATTTCCTGGGGTGTTCTAACATAACCATCTCTATGGTGTACAGACAATGGTCAGAAAAAACAGAAAATCGTTCATTTAGTTCTCAGGACTGAAATACCAGAGGTCAAAGGAGAATGCCCAGACTGCTTTAAGCTGGCAGTAAGGCTACAGTCACTTAAATATTCACTGATTACAACCAAGGTATGGAGTAGAGTGTATCTGAGTGCACAACGCTGTGAAATAAGCTTAAGCAGCAGAAGAAACTGGAAACTGAGGCTACAGTTCACACAGGCTCACCATAATTGGAGAATAGAAAATTGGAAAAGCATTGCCTGGTCTGATAAGTGTCCAATTCTGCTGCAACATATGATATATATCAATATAATAGGGTTTGAATTTGGCATAAACGACATTGCTCATGGTGGTATAATGGTGTGGGGGATATTCTTTGTCACACCTTGGGACCCTTAGTACACACTAAGCATCGTTTAAAAACATCACAACATACCTGAGTATTGCTGCTGATCATGCCCATCATATTATAACCACAGTGTATCCATCTTATAATGCTGCTTTCAACAGGATAACCTGCCATATCAGAAAGTTCAAATCATCTCAAAGCGGTTTTTTTGAACATGAAAATGAGTTCACTGTCCCCAAATTTCAAGGTTTTGGAATGTGGTTTCACATCATCATCACCTGTGTGATGTTTTCATGTCAATATGGACCCAAACCTCTGAGCAATGCTTTTAGCATCTTGTTGAATCTATGCTATTAAGAATTAAAACAGTTCTGAAGACAAAAGGTGGTCCCAGCCTGTACTAACTCTAATAAAGTGACCAGTGAGTGTATATAGCCATGTTTGCTATAATTCTGCAAGAAACAAAATTACATTTCCGTACTAAAAGATACTTCTAAATGTAATTATTTTTAACATGACTGGGGCAAGCCATAGTGTTGATCCAAAACCTTATTTTGAAAGTATTTCCTCTTTCCTGATTAACCTCTGAAAAAGCAAACGTGTGTAGTAAACGAAAAGTAGGTCAGAAAATAAAGTTTAAACACAATTATACTTGACATATTTTTCCTTTTATATTATAAAAGTTCACGCAATAACTTATTTGAAAGGTCATTTTGTCATTTTAAACTTGTTAATGCATTTCGTATTTAGAATAGTTGTGGTTGTGTTCTGTAGAATGAAATCACAACAAAAAAGGAAAGTGGTATGTTTCTAATAAAAGACTATATCCTTACAGGAAGCAGAAAACTGAAATCACACAAATAGTAAACAGCGAAATAAAATACCTCTCAGTCACTGCATGACAGTCATTGAAGTGTAAATATTGCACATGTTGATTTTGCTATAACTCAAGAAATACACTCTTCTGTCACACTGTGTACCTGGATGAATTTCTGAAGGGGAAAAAATGACATTTAATGACAATCCATAAAGGCCCAAACTGATAATACCACATACTAAGATACAACCAACAACTGGAAATAAAACACAAAAGAAAAAGAAAAGAAAACACATGACATTTTTATATATAGTTTTTTTGTGTAAAGGAATCTAAAAGTTCTGTTGCTTTGCACATTTCTCTTTCAAATCTTTTAAAGCAGACTATCTTTTTAATATTGTTTTATCAAACAGAACAGCTTACCTTTAAAGAACCAAAAGGTCAGTCCACTTTCTTGTCTCGCAATTTGGTGTCTCAGATACCATAATCCATTTCATTAAGGAGTTTTGCCTCCAACAAACCAATAAATGTCACTTGGACAGAAGCATCCATTGTAAGCAATGGGTGATGCAGAGGATACAAACATGTCAGAACTCCATCTGTAGCCAAACTCAATGCTACAGTTAGGTACAGATGATCGGTATGTACAGTCTCAAGCTTGTCAACTTCATTAAAAGGGGTCATATAGTTCTGAACATTACGAGAATGAGCTTTCTCTGCAGTAGCATCGAACACAGAGTACAATGGCAGCCACAATACTAAGATGCAACAAAAGCCATCTGCGTTTCCTTCAAACGTTAATAATAACGATGATAACCTTGCATGTCGTGTTTTACGGATGCTCAGAGATTTGAAAGGAACATTTCCATGCTGATTAGGTGAGTCATCATCATCATAATAAAACATTGCTACAGTAATGTTCAGGTAAAAGATTTGTTCCACGGTTAACGTGGAGAAATGTACCCTCATTCCCGGCACACAAGGAGGTATCTAGTATGCTCTTTGAAATTTGACGACGGAGCACCAAATGTAGCACATCAAGGGGGCAGCCATATGTTACGTCTTTAGAATTAATTTAGATTCTTTTTGTGTCTCTGTGGGGATACAGTCAAATCCTGCCCTCTAAATCTGTTGGACAGGTTGCAGATTTACATTGACTATATTTTTTTTTTAAATTATATTTATGACCAGAAATAATAACATAAGGTTGAGAAATAATAGAGAAATGGCTGCAGTTTAGACAATCCAAGTTACAAAAAAATCAATACATATGTTCAAGGCATACTTGAAAAATGCCTTAGCTTGCTAGCATTAGAAGATGTTCCTTTCACAGATATAACAATGTGAGAGCCGATTCTGGATTTTGTCTAGCAGCATCACTCTTATTATCATCACTGTTACTATCAATACTTCATTTTATGCCTTCTTCCAGAACGCATGAGCTCATTGCTAATGGCAAAATCCTTCTTTTGAATAGAAAATACCTCATATACAATGTGTAGCTTTGAGGGACACACACACACACACATCCCAGCAAAATTAGACCTTCATTACAGTCAACACTGATTTTCCATTGTCTGGAATAACTGGTTACTTGTCCAGTTTGCGCTCAATTGCAACAAACATTACTTTTCCTTAATTGTCTGTTCACATTTCAAACTTTGTCAGCACAAGAGCAGAAGAATTACCATGGGCGAAGACTAATTTTTGACAAACCCGCCTTCATTAAAGGATTAGATCATGAAAACATTCATCTTCCAAAACCAGAAGTGTAGCCCATCCACAGGCAAGTCGCTAAAAGCCTGTCTGACCGCGTTAACAGGACAGACAGTACGTGTCATTACCAGGGTGACTAATGGCTAAACCACTAACCATACATTCAATCCAGGTTTTAGCACAGAGAACGGCACAATGTCTCACTCTTAACCTGCGTGGTTGCCATATTGACCCGATACAACCCAATATATGATTGATTTATTTCACACGTAATGATACATGGCTAGACAACTGTACACATTATATCAAACTAACAAAAATAAAGAAATACATAGTTGAAACGCAAGAAGCGTAAATGGCATTTAACATATGAAAGTTACACTTTAAAAATGTGGATCTTACAATTGTCATACAACCAGACATTATTATTATTAATATACTGTACATTTCCTTTCATTCCAATCTTCTTAAGATGGATGTTCACTCCCTTCTTGAAAGCTGCTGCAGATAGATGTCGACTCATCCTTATGACAGCATTTCATGGCATGATTATGGTAACCACGAGCAAGGAGATCATATCAAATTCCAGTCTAAAAGCAAATATCTGGCTACTGATCTGATTCAAATAACACATTGTCAACACTTTAATTTACCCTTACAGGTCATTGCATTGGATTACCTGTTCGTGTTTGTTTTTACCATTAATTGATGCTGGCATTTAAGTATCAGAATTGTCAATTCAAATACCAAGAAGCTGGCTTTTACAAAATACATAATACACTTTCAGAACACAAAAGTTTGTAATGATTATTACTGAAACAACAGACAAAAGTTTGTCAAACAGAGATCTGCATTTACTGTAATACAACCTAAATGGACTTTATGCCACAAAGCCAATTCAAAGATTCACAATGAGTGTTGCAATTGAGCCCTTATGTTTCTGAGAAGTAGCCAAACTTAAAACATATCATAACAAACCTCAACTATCGCCGCCCCTGATTATTCACAAAGAAACAAACTATACCAGCTTATACATCCACCCCAAAATATGTCTGCATCAGAGTCTGCAATGATACATATTTAGATGAAAATATATTTATATAATTTGTGGATTTTTCACAGTAGTTTGCACTGTACCCTTTTGTCCATCTATTTATGCCTACATAATTTTCACCTTGAGGGAGTCTTTTGAGTCACTAGAGAGAGAATGTGGCTCGTGGTTTTTTGAGGAAGAAAAATGTCTCTTGGATTTTATTCTGCAATATCTCTGATCTTCAGTGTGGCAAGTGCTGTGCGTGTCTTTCAACTCTGCTGGCCAACAACGGTTTGGGGACTGATTACTCTGAAAGGCTATTTTTTTTTTCCTATGAGGACACAGCTTGTAGAAACTGCAAAAAACATTTGCTTTGGCACAGATTTACATTGTAGCAATGTCCATTCCTTGATCTCCATGGCCATGATCGTTACTACAAACACAAGTGGGCCATTGTGGTAATCCTTGGCTCAGTACACTGTCACAGATAAGTCTATGTGTTTGTGTATTGCCGTTTCAGTCTATCCTCTTTCCTAGTGTAATGTCAGTGCACTCTAGTGTCTAATCATTCTGCGCATAAACCCAAGATCAATCCCCTCTCTGTCGTCAACTCTCTCTCACTCACTCTCACTCAATACTCTCACTTTTGCTGTTAGATTTGAGTCTCTTGTACATTTTCCTTCGAACTCCCCTTGAAAAGAAGAGGTTCCATTTGTGGATTCTGGCTTTGGCCCATGAAACCCTTGATCGATCCATGTAAGCCCATGGTAGGCATAGGCAGAGACATGGGGAGTGGTGGGGACATCGAACTGGGGATGGTGTTGGTGCCGTTGCCTGATGAGGTGAGCAAGTTGGATGTTGAGATCGGGACAGAGGTACAGGAGATAGGAATATCTTGACCTTGCTGGCTCTTGTTACTCAGGATCCCTCCTGGCCCCATCCCTTCAGTGCCAATACTAAGACCCATCACATTGTTGTTAAAATGATGTGTCTTGTAGTAATGGTTTAGCGTATCGGTACGACCAATGTTGGGAAGGTTGACTATTTCTGGATGATGTATCCGTAGGGTTCCTTCTCCACCTGTTCCAGAATTCATTGTCGAACCACCTGAGATGCCACTTCCTGCTCCGGCTCCGATCTCATCCTCTACATTCACAATTTCAATGGCTCTGGCTGGGCCGTGGTGCTTGTGTAGCTGGTGTTGCTTACGGAGTTTATAGAAGACCACCAACATTACTGCTGCCATGAAAGTAATGGCCACAAAGCAACCAATGATGATCTTAGTTGTTTTCATTACATCATCCAGGCCTGGAATGTTAGTTACATGTTCTGGGGGCTCAGTCACTGTATTTTCAGGAGCTCTATTGATTCGTGGAGACAGTGAGGAGAGAGAAGAGAGAGAAGGCGTTATAGTAACACCAGGTTGGTGGACAGTAGGATTAGGAAAATCTATGAAGGTCTCGTTAATATACTGTCTTGCAGACTCCTCCTCGTCTGTTCTTGGCTCTAGTGTTTCCACAGTGACGGTGGTGAAATAGCTGTAGGTGTTGCTGGGGTCCGAAGCAGATACATTGAGAACGGCGGATGCAGTGGTATTTCCAGCAGAGTTGGTTACCATGCAAGTGTACTGTCCTGTGTCTTGCATGGTCACATTTGTGAAGTTCAGTGTTCCGTCATGGAGCACTGAGATCCTAACTCGGTATGATCCGTGGGTCATCAGCGTGCCATTTGGAGTGAACCAGTTCACGGAGGTCATTGACGTTCCAGTACGACATTTCAGCTCAGCAGCCATGCCTTCAGTGACATTGAGGTCAGTGGGTGGCTCAACAATCACTGGGGCATAGCAGGTAAAGTGGCTCTGGTCTAGTTCTCCAATGTACTTGCCCTTTAGACCTGGGGGTGCGTGGCAGCGAGCACAACAAGTGGTGTTGCTGGGAACTGTTTCTTTCAGCCACCAGCTGAGCCAGAGAACGTCACAGTTACAAACCCAAGGGTTATGGTTTAGATGTACCCTCTCCAACTGGTGCAGAGGGGTGAAGAGGTCATGAGGCAGGGAATGCAGGGAATTGTGAGAGAGGTTCAGCTCCTCCAAGTTTTTGAGATCATCAAAGGCATTGCGTTCAATGACTGACACTCTGGAGTGCATTAGCCACAGCTTGCGAAGTGAAACTAGACCCTGGAAGGATCCAGGCCGGACTATCCCGAGCTGGTTCCCTGATAGCTCCAACTCCTCTAGTCGCACTAATGGGGTGAGGTTAGGTATGTCCTTCAAGCCACACATGCCAAGATTCAAGAAGCGCAAGTTTATCAGACCTTCAAAGGCAGCCTCTGAGATGAAATCCAGCTTCCTGAGTTCCCCTAGGTCAAGACGCCGTAAAGAGGGAACACGATGAAAGGCAAACGCCGGCAGCGTCTCGATTGGGTTGTTTCTTAGCCATAGTTCCCTTAGCTTGCTTAGATACTCAAAAGCTTGGGATGGCACCACTGTAAGACGGTTGTCAAAAAGCTCCAGTGTATTGAGGTTAGGAAGACCATTAAAAGCTCCCACCTCAATCTGTCGGATGTGGTTCTTTGAGAGCTGGAGGATTTCCAAATGTCGCAGATGCTTAAATGTATCAGACTTGATCACCTAGTGTGGAAACAAATAAAAGGGAGGCATATTGTAGCAAAATTAAACATAATGCTCTCAAGGTATCTATCTTTAAAGTCTTAATGTGTTTTCCATTTGTGGATGAAACCAAAATTACCTGAATTGAGTTCTCTTGTAGATTGAGGTATCTTGTGTTCTCTGAAATACTGTCAGGGATTTGATCTAAACTCCTCCTTGTACAGATGACACGGCTTGCCTGATTGGAGCAGATACAGGGGGAGGGGCACGGGGGTGCTGCCTCTGTCAGCTGAGGTCCATGGTTGTGAAACCACAACAAAAGTTGGACCAACCAGAGGAGGGGGAAAGGGGTACCTGGACTGGTCACCATGACAACACGCATGGCAACTGAGTCATGACCTACCCCTATTGCTAAGAAGTTGATAGGTCACCTCCAATCAAGCGACTTCAGGTGCTTATCTTGATGTTCATATTTAACGCTCTGATTCTCTTTTGCTCCTTCAAGCAGCCACTTAAAAACTGAGGAAAAAAGTGCAATGCTATATTAAAGACTTTATCAATAATAGATTCTTACTTTGCTTTTGCTCATAGTTCCTTGGTAATCAAATACTTGGGCTTTCTCAATTTTTCATTTTTCTTCCCATGACAATTATTAGAAGAGAAATCAAATTTAGGGGAGGATTTGCTTGTGAAAGTGTTGTCACGATGGAGACTGTTGGTTCTCCCTGTAAGGGAAGAGACAAAAGAAGAGAGAGGAAGGAGGTCAAGTGAGTGCACAGTGCAGAAAGATTTACTTTACAAGCCTAGCACACACATGCGACTATTTGCAGAACTGAACTGAAAATCTCTAAATATCACCAATATCTCCTCTGGAATAATGGTACAATTTTCTATTCTAAAGACATGTCTATCAACCACTGAGTCAGCTGCCATTTAGGTTTAAACCTAACATCAGGGTCATGGTCTGAAATGGACACAAAATTCTAAAACTGCAAGTTGGGTCACAGGTGCTGCAGCATCCACTTTATGATACTGGCATTCTTCAAGCCAAATACGCACTGACAGAGGTAGACTCTCACATTCCCAAAGAATGCAAAGTGGTTGTATGCAGTTACAAGTCCATGTGGCCCTAAGGTTAATGCAGAAATTCATGCAATCCATCATGAATCAGCAGCACAGCATTACAAATGAGGTAACAAATGATGCCTGCATGCAGTAGTTTAGAAATTAAGACATGAAGGAATGATTATTGACTCTTGACATTTTACTGCAATGCACATGCGGTGCCCAATATGCCACGCTAAATCGGACAAGATTCCCCCAACAACTAAAACTGATGAACCAGACATGAATATGACAACTGGATTATACAGAAAGAGGAAAAAATGGTGCAAAATAAGCCTTTCTGTTTGTTTTGGAGGGGGGGGGGGGGGGGGGGTTGAATTCCTGAATGTGCATTGTGTTTTTCAAAAGCCTTGTTTTTGGTTAATCGAGTGTCACACACACACATCTTGCAACAGAAATGGCTGCGAGCATCAGCAGACTCACTAAATTTAGAAATGCTTGGGCTGTTCCCCTTATAATGATTAGAAAGAGAAAGTGCTCATTGTTTTCTCAAGCACATAATTCTCGTCACTATGACTCTGGCAGTCACAAGTCTGTCATGTCTGAGAACAAATGATAAAAGATCCTTGTTTCCTGACACTAATATAAACACAATGTCACCTCTATCGATATGGCATTTAAAATAACTCTTGGATGCATTTTAAAAAATAAAAGAATCTCTTATTAATGTAATAAACTGTTTATTCTTTCTTTTTTTATGAAACAGCTCCATGGCAGTCCTTAGCATCTCCTCTCCTATGCAGCGACGATGCATGCGCCTAGAAACACTGTTGCTGTGGCAACCTGCTCACTCACCATCTTGTGTTTTTACTGTCCAGTGCCCTATTCCACATTACTGTGTTTAGCTGAGCTTGATCAACATTTTGTGTCCAAAATGGATAAACAGCGCCTTTGCTGTCTAAATCAAAATGCATTTAACTCAAAGCTTATAGTGTATGCTTGCAGTATTTGCTATTATAACACACTCGGTAAGAAAAGCCAAAGCTGAATTTTGGAATTCTGTTCATAGGAGATAGAACAGGGTTGAACTTTGGCCTTCAGCATAACAACAGCAGGAACAAATCTGCAACGAATCTTAATGGTCAAGGTCTGAGGATCAGGTCAACATTGGTTTTCATCTAAAACATACTTCGAAGAAGTTAAAGCAGCTATTAAGAAAGCTCGTAAGGGAATGTACGCTAAAAATAGACTTTTTTCAGATGCTTTGCACATCCCACTGACTCTCTCGCCCTGTCTCATTCTCTCTCTTCGACACATGCCCACATCCAGATCTACGACCATCGTAACTGTAACTGACACAAAGAAATGACAGCACATACGTACATCCCAGATAAGCTAATGAATGTAGACGTGTGAATACAAATAAACCTAAATATTACAGTAAGCAGCTCCTTTGCACCAGTCCTCATTATGGTGCTCTTTACACTGTTGTCCTTCCTTGAAGAGTCTCCCACTCATCCCCATCTCACAGCTAATTATGCATTTCAATAATCTGACTGGCTCTCTTAGACATCAGAATTGTATCTGATTCAGAGTAGAGGTCTGATAGTTGCAATGATTCATGAAAGCATCAAAGCAAAACATCATTAATATTCAGCCGGCCAAAGAAGTACCAGTGTTTCATACGCTGCTACTTCATTAAAAACACACAGCGATGGTGGTGCTATGCCTTTCTTTCCTCCCTTTTTTTTCCTTTTAAATTGAGCGGTGTACAAAGTATCATATAAACACAGCTGGATGGAAAGTATTTCCAAATTCCTCCAGCCACTTTCATGACACTTGAAGTCTAGAAAGAAATGTAAGCTAATGGTGAAGTTTTGGCCCCACACACAGCCTTTTGTTAAAACAAACTTGCTTCCTTCATTGCATCACTGAGGGAAAGATGCATTCCCCTTGAATTAAAAACCAGCTGGCCCTTGTAATCAATAAGTTGTTTAATGCAGCATTTTTTCCCTTAAGTACAGTTAAGCACTTGAGCTGCATTTGTTCGTTGCATTACATGGGAAATGTCACTAAATGAGGTGGTGCAACCAGTCAGCGGAGAGCACCACATTGTATTGTAAAGAGCTGTATTGTGGGAGAGACCTTGAACCTGCAAACATGCCTGTTGACTTCACCTGCCATCTTTAAGTTCTTGACAAAAGGAGAGCTCGAGAGCTACAAAATACACTGCGATGGTCTTTATTTCTAGAATCTTGGCCCATCTGATCCTGTTGCAGTTGGCCTTCTTTCTGATCTTTGTGCAAAATGTGTTTTCAAGGGCTTCTTGACATAGCTGAAACACTGGCCACATTAAATTCTTCAAGCCAATTTCACTTAAATGAATCTCTCTCTCTCTCTCTCTTTTTTTTTTTTTTTTTTTTTTTTTTATTTTAGCCCTTTGTGTTCGTGTCAAAAGCAGATTGCAACGATGTAGATATTGATTATTCGATCAGGCCTGAGAGATCGCTCACTCGTTAAAAGACAAATTAGCTAAAAGCTGCTGACCAACTGCTACAAACCAATCACATCATCGCGAGTGCCTGATTGTATCAATGTCTTCCACTCCACAACTGTCATTAAGGTTTATGAAGAGGCCAAAAAACAGAAAAATGGAGAAAAAAAATTGTGGTGCTGTTGTTTTCAATATAAACTGAGGCTGTGGGTTGCTTTTTTGAATACAAGCCCCAATTAGACCTCATGTATTTACAGATGCTCAAGATGAACACAAAGCGACACAGGTGCAGCAGGGCCAAGATCATCTACTGTAACTATGACAACACCAGATTGATTCAGGACGTGGGAATTGGGGTAGGATGGATGGGACGCATTTCACCAGTATGGATACATCAACCACTGTTAGAGAGAGGGAGAGAGAGGGAAAAAAAAGACAAGCTCGTAGCAAACGTCTTCAGACTTTTAACAATTGCAAGTTGTTGTATTTTTTTTCTTCTTCCCCCTATTTTTCTTATTTTTTTCCATCACATCTCAAAAACCCATAACTTGCCCATGTTTTTCTACCCTGCAGTCGCAACCTCTGATCTGCAATCTCTCCTCATCATATAGCCTGTAGCATAATATCTCCTACAATTGAACAGAATGGCCTTATTCATCTATGCAGCTGCGCTCACTACGGCGCACCTTCTCGGGAACGCAATTGAAATTCTGAATAGGCCTAATTCTGCACATGCTGCATTACAAAATGGCTTGCATCCATCCTCTCTTCGGCGGCATAACAACACGACTGCACGCAAAATAACCTTTAGGTTCATTGCTGACTGGGAAATATCACCTGTGTAGATGTGCAATACATAGGTTTGCGCGTAGAAGCGATTCCTTTTAATGCAACTAGCACAGATTTATTCCACTGGCATCGACGTGGACTGTGTGCTCATGTTAATTATTTGCTTAAATTGTTATGCATCTCAGCTTTTTGCCACACTCAATTTCTTGTCCCCTCCTTTGGCATCTCATGACTGTTTTCAGCATCCCTCTCGATTAGGTAACAAATGTAATAATTACACCAGCCATTTCCCTCCCTTCTACCTGTACAGCCAAAATAGCCTACCTTAATGTTTCGGCGTCTGCGGCGTGAGGTCGATGTTTTCTCTCCCCCTCTCCGATCGTCAGTTTCCCAACCTCGCTATCAGTCTCTCCTCTTTTTTTTTCCTGCTCTTCCCTAAATTGATTCGCTTGTTTCCACGGCTGTGAGCTGGCTCTTGTTCTTGTAGGCTAGATCCGCAGCGCCAACGCAACGCGGGGGGCTACAGTGATGGCAGGTTAAAGATGAACACAATCCACACACACGCGTGCGCGCGGAAAAAAACAGAGATCGGCTTCGGGATCGCCGAGGAAAAAAATGGTGTTATAATTATGGCACGGAGGAACGAGGTCGGGGACGAGTGCATCGATGCGCCTTATCATCCTTGGAGAGGAACGCAGGTAGCAAACGCGACGGCGCCCGCTGGGCAGAGCAGTTTGCGTCCAGCATAAGCGGCTCTTTACGCACATTCCGTATGTTTCAGTCTGAATCCGACTAAGACAGCATTAGGAGAAGAGACGAAGGAGCACCGACCCGTGGATGTGGCTGCGTTTCTTTGGGTGTATTAAAGTGAACGTTCAGAGCCGGATTCCAAAATGAGAGATATTTCACGTGTTTGCTTTCCGCGTGTTTTGTGTCTCACATCCCCCGGTGAAACTTAAGCTCTGGGCTTGTTATGAGTAGCAGTGTAGTCACATATTTATTAATATGACTCAGCAGCACTGTATGATCGGGAGGGTAACCTGAGTCAGTTCGTTTCTCCCTATCAAGTGAGATTTTGAGCATTTATTATTATTATTATTTTATTATTATTTTATGGGCACTTTCTTTTAAAAGCCACCAAATATTAACAGAAATAAACCTTTCTGATTCACTCAAAGAGTTTTGTAGACTCTGTAATGTTCCCGTAGCTAGCAAGAGCATTTGTTTTTGTAAGATTATATCTAGCAAATCAATGAGGCCTGCTTTCTGCAGACTGTGCATATGAGTGTTTACTCCAAGCCTTCCCACCCTCTTGAAAGGCTTCTGTATTGGACTTGTTAGATTTAAGCTGTAAATAAGGAAGCCACCAGCACTATTACTTCCTGTCAGCACCCAAACATGTAGAACACATACACTGCAGGCCTGTGAAGATCCTGACCGTGAATTAAACCATACATCTGAGCCTTGCAAATGTAGACGTGAAATATTTTGTTAAGGTTTTCAATTCATGTAATGTAATTAGTGAATTGAGAACAGTATGACCAAGTAAGTGGCCAGTTAAAGAGATGTTAGCTCACAAGTGATTTCCCTCCATTGAGCATTGTCATGTATGTGTCCACGTGTCTGAAGTACAGAAGAAGAGAAGCCCCCTTTGCAGCTTTACAACTACCAAAGACTACTTTGTGGGTAAAAATAAATCTCAGTGCATCTTTGCTCTGTCTCAGCTCACACTAAAGGTCAAAGGACAGAAAAGGCCAGTGATGCTTCAGAAAGACCCCCGAGATATATGCACTCTCTCTTTCCCTCCATCTCTCTCTCGCGCCTTCCTTCCCTCCCTCACCCTTTCAGTTGCTCCTACCCTCCCTCTCGGTGAATGCCGTAGTGAGCATTGTTCACGACCACTAGCTTTTACTGAAAGCTGCACAGCAATGAGGTCTCTGTGCCTTTTGCCTCTCTCTTCCTCTACCCTCCCCCTCCTCTGGCTCTCTCTCTCCCACCCCTCTACCTCTCTCCCCTTCCCTCTCTTTCTCACTCTATCTCTCTCCCTCTATTAAATTTCCAGTCACACAGTGGTGCAGAGGATATTCCTCCTTTCCCTCTTTCTTCCTCTTCCCTCATTCCCTCTCATTCATGTTAAAATCTTAGCCCATATTCCGTCTCTCATCCAGCCCTGGACGCCTTTCACTGCTTTTCCACCACTCTCGGCTCCTCTCTCCGTACATCTTTTTCGCCTTCCATCCCCCGCACCATTTAAAATGATTCCATGCCGCCCCTGCCAAACCCACCCTGTGCCTTTGCTCTCCTTCTTCCCCCCACTTTCTACTCTATGTCCTCACTGTGTCATTGCACATTGTATCTGATATTCCCTTTATGCATGTATAGTACGCTTGTGTGTGCGCAGGCACCCTTGAGCGTGTGTGTAGGAGCGGTGGACTGGAGAGAGGGAGAAGGACATGCATTTGTGCACAGTAAATGAACAAACGCTCATTGCTGTATTGCTTGTGTCATCAGTGCAGGAAGCCTCTCGGACGCGAAATACAGCAGAGAGAGCTAATCCCGCCATCCAGAAGACGGGCACATGGCATTTGTAATACAACCCAAACCCCATAAACTCTTAATGCTGTGTTAGGAGCCACAGGGGAGGAGAAAGGGAGGGTGAAGAGGATTTGGCAGCAACATGCTACTGCCAAGACATATGTGGCATGCTGATAGCACTAGAGAGGTGCAGCTCACACTGTGTGGAAGCTTTGGAGGGGTGCTGATACACATCAGTCACTTGTATCATTTTAGGAGCGACAGGCCTCGCCGGTCTGGAAGTGGGTGACTGAGTAATTGCACGTAGTTCAAAGCGAAGAATAAAAATGTTGCTAATTGTTGGAGCAGCACCCCTGACGTTTGGTTCAGTCGGAGCACACAGGTGATCTGTTTAGTGGTCCCAACGGCATTCAAGTGAAATTTTAAACCAACTTATATTTCTGTTATTTTTAGAGATTTTATTGAAAGAAAGAAAAAAAAGTTGAGTTGGCGCTCATTGCCATCTGGTGCCAGAGAATAAGAGCGATACGAGAGAGTTTCTACTTATTCGTGGCGATATCCCTGTGTGCGCGTGTGTGTGTGTGCGCGCGTGCTGGAGAGGGAGAGGGAAAGAAAAAAACACAGAGAAAAATCCTGGTGTCACAGTATCTTAGCAACTGCCTCCATCTCCTTGGAGACAAGAAGTGACATCACTTCCTGTCTGTGAGAACTCAGTTTTGGTTTGTACACAGTGTGTTTGTGCATATGATTTGGAGGACTTGGATGTGCGCTGGCGTGCTGCCACGTTCGTATGCAGATGTGGACCCGCAGTGTGCGCGCTAATCCAAGGAGGAAGTAATCCACAGCTTCACCGAGGGCGAGAAGATTAATTGAAAGAGGAAAGTTAAACTTGTGTGTTTGTTTTTCAGTCACTGTTTTGTGAATTTGGGTGTAAGATGCTAACATCAAGGTGGATACTGACACAACGTTTAGGTCCAAATATTTGTTCAAGTCATCCGGTTTCAACTAATTTTCATCCATGAATATAATTTGTAACCTATTTAAGATAATTATTATGTTTATTTTATTTTTTCCTTAAACATTGTCACTTTGTAAAACACTTGCATTTTCTTAATTTCTTTCCTCTTTTTTATCTTTACTGCTAAAATACCAAGTTTAAGAGTTTTCTTCTGTTTATATTGGCCTCCTAAACACCAGCTGAGCTCCACTCAGAGAAAACATTATCTTCAACTGCCATCTTGTGAGCAACAGAGTGTAGTGCAATTACCATTCGTTATGAGTGATTTCCTTTAAGGAGTTTACCAGCAACATTTTGTACTAAATTTCATTCATTTGCATAGCTAAAAAATATCTTTATTCCATGCATGGCCTTCAGCCTGACCATCGGCACATACAGTAGAAGGTTTAACGTCCCTCCCCCTTTTTGTTTGGGAAAAAATTAAAAATGCAAAAAATGTCAAAATATGGAAGAAGAAGAAAGTGTCATAATAGGATGCCATGAAGTCTGCTTGGAGAATCCAGTCATACCTGTCTTGCCAAATGCATGCACATTATCAGATGTTGCATGTGTGGCCGATTTCTACCTATAGGTGGAGCTAAAGTGGTTGAGATACACAAAGTTTGAAAAAACAGTACTATTCCTGATCAGTGTGCTAACTCTCACAACCTTTAAGCATACAGCTATAAATTCTTTCAAATTTAGAAAGAAAAAATAAAGTCATCTTCCTTTGTTTGTTTTCAGTTTGAGTCGCTGCCATTTCATGTAACATAACATGTCACACATTGAGAGATGTGCCTATGCACTTGGAGGTTTGATATAGACCATATATTGCAGGAAACATGGTACAGAGAATCCTGAGGCAAGTCTCAAGAGCTGTGTCAAGAAAATTTGGCAGAGTGACTGTAAAATGTTAAAAATGCAAAATGACTGAATGAAATTGCCAAGAAAGATCATGACATAAACCACAGACCCTGCCAAAAATCTGGGTCAATACATGAGAGAATACCGAGCTTTAACCTTCCGCGAACAGATTATTACTATGCAAGGCCTCCGTGAATCAACAAAGTCAGCAACACACAAAGACCATCAAACAGATCAGCATATGATTTACAAGATGTCCCAGGGGATATCAGTGTCCTGCGTGTGCCAAACCTCGGCAAATGTTGCACACTTCAGCAAGTCATTCTTATTCCGCTACACATCTTTATCATTAAAGCTTCCTCAGTCAAAGGGAAGAGTGGAGGAGAAGTCAAAGGCTGCAAAGTCACTGCTGCAGAAACCCAAGCCAGAAAAGCAGACATCTACACATGCAATGCAACCTGGACATTTCCAGACATTACACAGCAGGCATGACAATGTATATGTCTGTCTTTTCCTGTCAGCTCCCTGGACTTTGATGTGATGTAGAAACTGGTGATAGTCTGGTGCATTCACAGCCAGGGTGATTGTGATTGAAGGAAACAGGTGATTAAATATTCTATAGTACTATAGAAATAGGCAGCACGGTGGTTAGCACTGTTGCCGCACAGCAAGAAGGTCCTGAGTTCAATTCCACCATCAGGCCGGGGTCTTTCTGTGTGGAGTTTGCATGTTCTCCCCGTGTTTGCGTGGGTTCTCTCCGGGTACTCTGGCTTCCTCCCACCGTCCAAAGACATGCAGCTTGTGGGGATAGGTTAATTGGATAATCCAAATTGCCACTAGGTGTGAATGTGCAAGTGAGTGTGAATGGTTATCTGTCCTTGTGTGTTAGCCCTGTGACAGACTGGCGACCTGTCCAGGGCGTACCCTGCCTCTCGCCCTATGACAGCTGGGATAGGCTCCAGCACCCCCCGCAACCCTGAAAAGGATAAGCTGAAGCGAATGGATGGACTATAGAAATGCAAACACTGGAAAATTTGCTTTTGTAATTTTGTAGATAAATAAAAAATTAAAAGCAATTTTCATAAATTTATAACCAACAGGTGTAACATTACAAAGCTCATGTCAAGTCCCACCTTAAATCCTATAAAGTGAAGTTATTAAGAATACAGTTCAAATCAATCATTGTATTAAATATTAATGGTTCTAAGAGGGTAAAGTCTTATTCTCTTCTGTTTGCTCCTTATCTTTACCTCACCACTAGGTTTACAAATCTCAAGAGTTCTTGAATGGACAGTATTTACATGAATTTAGCTTGTTTCATCAGCTAATATATGAATACAATGATTTCGACCAAAGGTTCATCAAGCACTTTAACATAATGTTTTTGGACATGCTAGCATGTTGACATTAGCCTTGTGTACTGTGAATGAGGAAGTCTAATAGATGACAACAGAATCAGTTTAAGCCTGGATCATAAAATTCCTTTATTAAGCCATGGTAGGGC